ATGTTAACATTTTGTTCTTTAATTTAGATATGCTTTAATAGATTTCACCCACTGGTTACATTTACTATTGCAATATAGAGCCACTGATACATTACCTTGGCTTGTATTTACAAGCATAACCTGTATAAGGGCCTGTTCACACGACGTCCGTTTTGTGTGCTGACCGGCTCCGTACGCTGCTGCACTCAAAATGCATCCCAATGTAGCTCTGTACACCCTGCATAGTTTGGCTAACAGAGAACTCTCTCTTTCCCACCTTCCTTTTTAGATAGAAGAATCCTAAAGTTTTATGAGAACTGTGACTATTAACCTTACATTCTCTGAGGTCCCTTGAATGGTCTAGGTATAAGCAAAGAGTATATAAAAACAATAATGCAGGGCCCCACCACAAAAAAAGAATTAAAAAAATTAATAATTGACAGTCGGTACACGGAATAAAGCACATGATATTGTAAAATAGTTCTATAGTTCTTATTGCAGTTTTTAAAAATACACTGTCATCTTGCCCATGCAAGGTAAAGTTACAGTGTCTCTGCAATGGGCCCAGCCCTGCCCCCTATATACTCACCTTACCTGCACATCTGCCTCTGTTATAGCTGGTGATAAAATCAGTGGGGCTGGTGATCCGGGGGAGCGGTGGCATTACTCTATCATGTAAGAGTGCCTGGGCCTAGAAATCAGCTGCTATGTCCCAGCACAGTATAAGGGAGCAAGGCACATGCTCCATCATACCCACAAGCATCGGGAAATGTTGCTGACTAAGAGAAAGAAAGCAGCAGGGTACGGCAGGCACAGTTAAGTATAAGGGCCTGTGTCCATGGACTTGTTCACTTCAAGGCGTTTACATTCCTATAGAAAACTTGCTTAACCTCCCTGGCGGTATGATTATGTCAGGAATTTTGTACCAAAAGCGGTACAATTTTTTTGCTTGGAAATTTGGTGTTATGTATTGTAGGCCTGCAATTCTTAGCAAATCTTAGGAATAACTCACCTAAATCTGTCCAAACAAGAGTCCAGTAGACATCCCAGGTATGATAAAGTTTGAAACACGAAATTAAAAAATTAATTGTATTGTGTGTATTCTGTGTACATTGCAACTTTTCACTTTTGAATTTTCCGCCGGCTGTGATGCCCGATAACGAAACTAAAAGTTAGATGCCGGCATCTGACTTTTAGTTTAGTTTTCGGGCCGCGTACAGAGGAGGACGCCGCGGGCTCGCAGGGACAAGGTGAGTGTCACTTTTCTCTGCAGTCCCGAGTCTGGCTCGGGGTTACCGCTCCTGGTATGGAAAATTAACCCCGAGCCAGACTCGGGAATACCGCCAGGGAGGTTAAAGCAGGTCAGAAGGAGGTAATCTGCAAGTCAAATGTGCAAAACAGACAGCGTCTTGTCCTTGTGTAATACAGTTTATTAATCAATGAACATACAAGCTGACATAAAATACTACTCACATGGTAATCACTGAATGAATGGTACAAGGCAGACCCCACACAAAGCTGCCTTGCTAGCTAATATAGTGAATAAGTTGCGCTTGATCTAAGTGAATGTGAATACCAGAGTAAAGAATAAATCATAAACAACCCATAAACATCTATATAAATGCCGTAATCTTCTACCTCATTGTGTAATCGATACGTCAGTGTGTAAATGTCCAAGAAATTATTGAGGCATGTGTTATGTGTAGTATGTAGCGTAATATTATTCTGCATTGATATACAATGCATTGTTTGGGATTTGTAGTCCTCTATAGCCAGTGCCATTCGACATTGCTGAATAATGCATCGCTGGATTTTGTAGTCCTCTCTAGCTGATGGCATTACTCTGCAATGCTGTATAATGTATTGCTTGGATTTGTAGCGTGCATCGCTGGGATACCTAGTTCGAATTCCGGCCAGGTCAGTATCTACAAGCAGTTTGCATGTTCTTCCTGTGCTTGAGTGGGTTTCCTCCAGCTACCCCGGTTTCCTCCTGCACTCCAAAGACAATGCTGGTATGTTAATTGGCTCCTGTCTAAATTGGCCATCGTAAGTATGCATGTGAGATAGGGACCTTAGATGGAAAGCTCTTTGAGGGTAGGGGCTGATGTGAATGTGCAACTATTTAAAGCACTGCGTAAATTGTTGGCGCTATATAAATACCAATAATAAATAATATCGATTTGTAGTCCTATTTAGCTGATGGTATTCTGCATTGCTGTATAATTTATTGCTGAGATTTGTATTCCCTCTACAGCTTGGAGTGAGTGGAAGAACTATCAGCGATGCGTTTGCAGCTGGGATTGGGCCCTGGCATGTCACCTCTGTCCTAATATCATTAGTCTGTATTGTTTTAAAAAACCGTCACATGACACTAAAAAAAAAAAAAAAAGCATTCGTAATTGGTATCGTGAGTACTTGAGGAAAAGTATCGGTACTCGTACTCAGTCTGGAAAAAAAATGGTATCGGTGCATCTCTACATTTTAACAACTCCCCCATTGATATCTTTAGCTATAGGCATTGTAGAGAAAATGGTCTTCCAAGTTCACACCAGGGAATAAAATATCAACTCCTCTCTCCTTATTTTCTATGGCAGCTGAACTTGGCAACCTGCCAGCCTCCTAATGTAGACAAACACTTGGTGCTGTAAACTGTTAGAAATGGACTAAAACCGGACTTGAGTCTCAGTTGTGATTTTGAGAATTACTTAGGCATTACATACAGCTAAAGATATCAGTTACAGATTGTTTAAACGCTCTTTTTCTGCTTGAGATTAAGAATGATTGTTGAGAATATGGGGCATATTTATAAAGCAGTAAATGTCACCAATCAATTCATCAAATCATGCCTTGCAGGTAAATCTTCCTGGTGCATGCGTTTTAAATTACAGTGATTGAATAACTTGCAGTGAATATTTGGTGGATCTGAGATTCGCTGCAATAAAAATGTAAGGTGGTAATATATACAGAAGATAATGTTACTGTAGTGTTCAGGATGCACTGCCTTGAAACTTCTTGCTCTCCATCCAACCTGTGGGCCAGCGAGCGGACAACTGTTGTGCTTTGCTGGGTTATTCTTCATTTTTCTCCCTGTTTGCAAGTGTTCCAGAACTGTGCATCAATGTAACTAAGCTTTTAGTACCTGGACCCTGTCCTAAATAGCTATTTTAGTAAATTGAATTTCAATTATTTGTATATTTATTTCCACTTTTGTAGACAAACCTGAGGAAACACCACAATATACTGAATGTTTGTTATGTGCTTCCATTCACACAGAATATCTGAAAAAATTAACACCAATATATTTCTTACCTTTTCATCTGTTTCTTTGGAGCAGGATTATACATAGGACTTTCTAGGTAAACTTCTACTGCCTTGAATAGATGGCAATGTGCAGATAAAGGAACAGACAGAGGGACGTTTTTTTAAAAAGGGAGTTAGCATACAATGCCTTGAGAACCCTTTGTTAGGACAGGCAGTCCTGCACATCTAGTTTACAGTTGATAATGGAAATCTGCCAGCACAGTACACACAGGGTAAATTGATGCAAACAAATTGCCCAGCCCCCACATAAACAGGGAGAACTAAACAGGAATTTTCCATCCTGGAGTTTTCAGCAAAAGGGGAGACACAATTTTAATCATTTTTAAAGTTATTTAATGCGAATGGGAACCTGTTTCAAATATAAAGTAGAGTTATTCCAATATGGATGCAAGAGTGGAAAAATCCTTTAAGGGTCTCCTAACCATCATTCTACTACCAAACACCTGTCTTTTTAAATATGCCCCTATGGAGATACATTTAGTATGTCCATTGTCTGCCCATAGGGGTACTTCTAGCACATACATTTCTCTTCCTGTTTGACACCCTTCATTTGCACAGGGAGGGAGGGTGAATCTCATGTAGACAGAGGGAAAATGAAGGGGAAATTCACTGAGACGAAAACAGCAATAAAATCCTTAGGAAGGCCCTAAACCTTCCTACCTCTACCAGAATATGTGTTTGTACTGTTCCCTATATTCCGATTGGCGGAATGGTGATGATCGGCTTTTGCTGTACCTTTAAGGAGGAAGAAGCCATGTCCCTGGCATACCTACTCAATTTATACTTTGCTTAATATGTCCTATATTGGGAGCTTGGATAGTTTAGATTTAGGGACCACACTTCAGAGGAGCTTTCACAAGGCAGTGTGGCTTTAAATGTTTTTGCAAATGTATCCAACAAAAATATAAACCTAAAATGTTGAAACAGCTTAAACAGTCTTTTGGTGCTGGCTGGAAAGTGTGCAGGGGAAGTTGGTATGGTCCTATTAGCGGAATTTCTTTCCAGTTCCTGTTCTGAAGCCCATCAAGAGGGAAGATTTTCCCTCTCCGGTGTGACACACATGATGTCAATAGCAAGTAAGTAGGAATCTTCCAAATAGACACAGATAGTAATAAGATGACAGAGGTACTTATATAAACAACATTAATAAAAAAACAAAAATAAGGAAGAGAATTTGTCTGCAACGGGGCTTCAAGACTGCTATACAATAATGAAAAGTCCCCGCCTCCTCCCCCAACAATTCCCACCAGCATTCTTCTCACAGAAGCATTCTATAGAATCAATAGGGACTCTATTTTGTGATGGTAAATGGAATGGTTTATGTTACCAGTAGGGCATCTGGATACCTTGGTGAAAGTAATCAGTAATAAACAAGATTTCTCTGCTAATAAGTTTCTAAAGATGTGCATTGCCCAAATGCATACACCTACGTATGGTATGAGGAATTAAAGAGGACAATATGGCAAGTCAAATCTAGTACTATTTACTTACATGGTGCATAAGATGGAGTAAAAACTAATTCATGTCTAAACAGAGAACAGACCAAGAACACATATCTTCAGGCTGAAGACATGAAAAAGGTTTTCTTCCAGCTGCACCCTTCAGTTTATGTTTGCATTTCATTCTGCCATTTCTCTCATCGTCAGCCTTGGATACAGAACAAGAACAACATCATATACATGTTAGTTTTCAAAACTTACCAAACACTCTGGCCACAAAACCCAAGGGGAACTGTGAAGCAAACATGGTGAGGAACCAAGGGGCAGCATAGAGGCTGGGGCCTATCTCAAATTCCTCCAGGTGGTTGTACAGATCTCTGTGATAGTCATGGAGAAGGCGAGACAGCTGGTACATCTGGATCTAAGAGGAAAACAAAAAAATACATTCAGCTGCATATATATAGTTTTTTTAGGTTACATTTACAGAGGCTATTAGAAGGAATATTTCCGAAGAAGGGTACATTGATGATTGAACTGTGCACTCATGGGGGAAAATTCTCAAGGAAATAAGCACGCGGAAAGAATCTCTTCCAAACACTTCGCTAATCACTCGCTCATCCGTCATCACCGGTAGACAGCTCACAACAAACACATTTGTAAAGTAAATATAAGCAGACAAATCTAAAACAAACCATCAAAACTTAGTTGACATGTTTCAGGTTGGTTGTGCCTTTCTTAGAGTAAGTGAATGTAGCGACCTGGCACCAGAATTAAATCCAAAAACATTGCATATTTGTGAAGTGTACATTTTGTAATATTGAAAGCTACACTAAACTCAGAAATGAAATAATAAAAATAGCTTCCATCATAAAAATAATGGCTGTGTACTTTTGTTTGTCAATGTTTAGCTCTAAATGCTCCAAAATCCATTTTATTTTTCTCCAACCACAACTTCCTGCCAGAGGGTGGCTACTTTTCTTCTGCATGGTCCCTATGTGTGCTGCAAAGTAGCCACCCTTGTTGCCGATTCATGCCTCAAACATATACAAGCACTACAGTATGCCTTTAAGGTTGCAGAAACCTTATAATATATGGCAGTTAAAAATGTTACATGTATAAAATGTAATGTTTTAATTGAAAGCAGCAATATCACAACTCTTTATAACAGCCTTCTGTGATGCGACACACATTAATAAAGATATTGGAAGTCCCACAGTGTGTTTGGAGTTTCACATTGTCACATGTGCGTTTTATGACAGGTCTACAATAAGTGTCATTCACAGATTTATAAATGGCACTCAGCAAAGTGTAAACAGGTTATGGGTCCCATCTGTAATTTACGCACTGGCAGGTATATATCTGCTTGCACTGTTACCTATGCCATTTACAATTCTTATGCAGCAGTGGATGGATCTACAAAAATGCACCAAGGATATGAGGAAAGCAAACATGTGGTTAGCGCTTCTGCCTTGTAGGTCTGAGAGTCCCCGGTTCAAATCCCAGTCAGGACACTATGTGAAAGGAGTTTGCATGTTCTCGCTGTGCTTGTATTGGGTTCCCTCGGGGTACTCCGGTTTCCTCCCGCACTCCAAAGACATGCTGGTAGGTTAATTGGCTCCTGTCTACATTTGATGAAATGATACAGGTGAAACTCGAATAATTAGAATATCGTGCAAAAGTTCATTTATTTCACTAATGCAACTTAAAAGGTGAAACTAATATATGAGATAGACTCATTACATGCAAAGCAAGACGTGCATGTGCAACTATGTAAAACACATGTAAAGCAAGTAGTGTAAATTGTCAGCACTATATAAATACCTGTACCAATAATGTGTAATATAACCAATTGTTGAAGGAGTACCTGTAGAGTAACCATATCAGGCCGGTACTGCTTTCTCAGTCCCGTGTCGTACATGATAAACTTTAACAATTTAAATGCATCCTCTTCACTCATGTGTAGAAGCAGCACTCCGGCAACAAAGCTGAGTCCTTGGCAGTAACCCACTTCAGGATCCAGCAAGGAATAGGCCTTCAAAATGTTGTACAGTGACAGCTGTCCTGCTCCCAGCTGGGCTGAGAAGTATGGGTGTGTCGGGAAGGTGCGTCCTAAGAAAACAATTGAGGTTAGCAATTCAAATAGGTTTACTTGAACCTTGCTATGAGGGCAGGTCAAACAAAAACAAGAATCTTTTGAAGGAGCTTTATCTCCTTACGTAAACTTTCAACACCACTTACTAAGTAAACAGCATAAAATCAACTTGCCTTTGGCCCCTTTGAATTATGTACTCAGATAATAAAAATAAGCCACTTCATAAGGTTCACTGCAGCATATCAGATACAAAAAATTATAAAATGATTCCATGCTATCTTTACACCTGGCCAAATTAGTAGCATAAATTATAACTGATGAATTACTGGAGGTTCCTGGAGCCAGCAGGCAGTGCAAGCAACCACACTGACACCTAATGGCAATGAGCATCATTAATAAAAGCAATGACTGTTTTCCAAAGCGTATTCTTGCCAGATACTTTCATGCAAGGGGACACATAAAGGAACAGCTTAAACATAACCTATTTTATACTATATACATATACTTTTTTGTTTTTTAAAAAGGGAATCTAAATTCACAGGCTTTTATTGGTTTCAAGTGGGTTTTGTATTCCCATACAAGTCTATGTAAATATAAAACCTGGTGTGCCCCCACTAATGTGGCCATTGTGTCCATTCAAGTTAATTACAGGGTGACAGCAGTTGCATCTGTCCGTGACTGTCCGGATGTAACGATACATGGTACGATTACCTGTGGATCGGGAGAGATGCTTTTCCTGGGATGCAGAGAACTTGGGCCCCTTGACAAACATTTTACCCCGCAGGTAATCACACCAAGTACCATTACATGCCGACAGTCACAGGCAGATGCAGCTGCATGTCACCATGTCATTAACTTGAATGGGTAAAGTGGCTGCATATCTAATCTTATATGAAAACTGGACCTTATTTGTGTATCACTCGGCTGTAGATCCTCAAATCATCTCAGAATTGGTGTGGACAACATTCCCACATTTAGTTTACCAATTTGTATTGAGAATGTAGTCCATCACAGGAGTGAGCTTGGCGTGGCGGCTACTTTACAACACACACAGGGACCATTTGGAACAAAAGTAGCCACCCTCCAGAAGGACAGTGTCAGCACCAATTCAGAAATGATTTGGGGATCTACAGCCGAGTGATACACAAATAACATACAGTAGTGTCAATAGTTAAGGTGATATTAAAGCCTATTTTTTTTATATTTCTCCTTTAACCCCTTCATGACTGAGGCCTTTTTTTCATTTTTTGCACCCATGTTATATTCCACATTTTAGGCCTGAAAATTACTTAAAACCCCCAAACATTATATATTTCCTGAATGCCAAGACCCTATAGAATAAAATGGTGGTAGTTGCAAATGTTTATGTTGCGCAATATTAGCGCAACTCCTTATTAAACCCCAAAATGTAGTGACAAGTTTAATTAAATGCCCCAAAATACCAATTTTTTAAATGAAATATAAAAGATGAGGTTACAACGAGTAAAACGATACCCAACATGCCCAGTTTACAAATTGCGTGCATCCGTGAAACGGCGAAAAACTGCAGTACCCCAAAAAGTCCATAGAAGACGCTTTAAAAGCCCCCACAGGTCATAAATTTAAAGATACCCCAAAATACAGGCCCTAGAATTATTGCTCTCACTCCGGCATGCGCGGCGATACCCAACATGTGTAGCGCGTTTGTCGTTTTCATACGTAGGCGCACACGACGCGTGTTTACGTGGCGACAAATAAGCTATTGAAGTGCAGATCGCACTTCAATAGCTTATAGCTCGGCTGCAGGTGCCCAGAACTGAATATAAGGAAAATATTACAATCACAATACAATTCAAGATAAGATGGTAAGGAGGGCCCTGCCCGTGAGGGCTTACAATCTAAAGGGGAGGGGCAAGTGATACATGAGGAGGTAGCTGTGTGGGGATGAATTGTATGAGAATGTAATGGTTTAGTGGTTAGTTTGAGGTGGGAATACCTGAATAATACAGAACATGTACAATATGTTGTCATTAAAAATGTTACATGGATAAAATGAGTTGTGAAAAAATGTAAAATAAAGAGTGTAAACATAACTTCACAAATAAAACTTGGGTGAAGGGCTTCCCAAAGCTTGGCTGGAACTGAGAGCTGCACCGTACAGACATTCACAATAAAAATCATATCTAGATTGCTTATAGCAAACACATTCCACAGGAACCTCAGTGTGTCTCTACCCTTATTAACTGTTTTAGTTCAGGATAAACATCTCTGAAAAGCTATGCCAATATGTGTACAATATATTAATAGTGTTATCACCGCAAGAGATAAAAAGTTATAAGACAGTTTAAAATAGCTAAAAGCCCTTTTAAAATAATTTCAAGGCAAACTCCACTTCTGAGGTTATTTTCGGGAATAAATGCAGCCTAATAAAAATATTGTTCTCGGCTACCGCAATGCATATTTTTTTCTTCGTTATACAGATCTTTCACTTTGCACACTTGTGTCTAACATTCTTACTGTCAAAAAGGTATATTAAAGTGGGCCTTGCACCTAAATAGCAAGGTTTGCTTTTTAGGGTGGCCCGCCTACCCTTTGCAGAAATGTTGCATTAAAACTTTTTAAAAAGTGGCAAATTTACTTCTCTGGGTGGCGACAAAGCGAGATGGATGCCATCACCCTTCCAGCAAGATCCCAGGGAATGTTGAGTAGCCCAAATCTCATGAGAACATGAGCTTGCACTGTGCTGTAGTGTCATCTTTGCAGTATTCTGCTTTCTCTGGGATCCCGTTGGCAGGATGGTGATGTCACCCACTGCACTACAGGAGTGGGGCAAAGGCGAGTATATCACCTTACTTTTTTTTCCCCACAGGTATCTTATCTGTATGTTTTTAATGTGGTGTTTCAGCAAGGGAGAGGGGGCCATAAAGCAGACCAAGCTTAAAGTGTAAGATCCACTTTAAAAATACAGAGAATTAATTTTGAAATGACATTAACATGTCAAAGCTTATATGGAGATTTAAGTGATTGGGTTTACATCTTTATAAAGGTGCCCATACACCTGCCGATTATCGTACGATAATCGCGGGTGATCCCGCGATCGTACGTTAATCGGCAGGTGTATGGGCAGAGTCCGACCGCTTCTACTGTAAGGTCGCATGACTTTCGTCTTCCAAGCACGCTGGAAAACCTGCCCGCTCAGCACTGCAATCATCGGAAGCCCTCCCCTCAGCAGGGAGGTCTTGCGATGATCGCAAGTACGATCTGCCTGTCCAAGATGGGCAGATCCTACGAAATTGTAATCACCTTACAACCATCGCACAACGAAAGTCGTGCGATGGTTGTAAGGTGTATGGGCAGCTTTAGCAAGATCAGACAACAATCTTATCTCCCCACATAAACACACGAGAGGAATATTGAATCAAGCAGATTAGAAAAACATGTTCCAGTTATTGGTCCTAATGCTAAAAAACTTCCCACTTGGCCTCCTCTGCCCTCTCAACTCTCCTCTCTGGCCTGTCTTATATCTCAACTAAGGATACTATACTATTTACACCACACATATGGTACCTATTGCATCCTGTTTTACAACTTTTTAAATGCTTATAGGATCATTATGTTCATTCTCGTGGTTCAGCAAAATCACAGATCCAGATTGCCTTTTTGCCTCCCAGAACTTCGTTTTCCATCATCTGTTTATATTGTCAAATTTAAAAGGTAGCACTAGGGGAGAAAAACTCTGGTTTGGGTCCACTGATCGATGCGTGAATGATTAGCTGGAATTAAGCATGCAACAACTTGCCTCTGGTTAGTAAAATTATTATTGCTTTGACACTTCAGAAGGACAAGAGGATCTAGGGAGCTGGGAATCTAGGGAGGGCAGGTAATGTGTCTATGATTACAGCTCCATAACTGTAACCAAGGACTTTTTTTTTCTGTCATTAATATAGTGAACTACACTTTTCAGTCCTGGCATGAAACATGAAACAGGGAAGGGTTCTTGTAAAGGTAAATGAAGCGTCCCATACAACAGCCCTCTTGTTAAACACTACCCCACCCTTGTGTTTCAGGAATGCTGCAGCAATAATGCCATTACAATACAAGATTACAAATCCTTTCAGCAAGACAAAGCTGTGCGATAGATATCAGATTGAAGTATAGGACACCCTGTTATCACTGACTATACAGAAAATCAACATATAAATAAATTTGCTGCCGATTCAAACACACTTTATTAGCTGCAATAAAGAAGCACGCAGTAACAGATACCAGACACAGTAGCTAGTTGCGGTGTGAAATCTATGTGTGCAAAAGCAATAAGAAATTTGTATACCTTTTAGAGTATGTTAGTGATAGGGTGTTTTTTGGTTTCCAAGCCACTAAATCCATTTCTTGCCGCAAACATTCAAGAGTATTATTCAGCTAGTGCACTCGATAACATTTAGGTACAAAATTGTAGAAATGTGGCAATGAAAATAAGGGTGCTTATTGCAAAACCTCCTTCATTTTGTATTTTTGTAGCCCCACCATTTCTTACTAAAATAGGCTTCAATGGTATTATATTCACAGGGGCTCAAATTAATTAAAACAACAAATTGTCTGAAATGAAACCACAGTGTGCAGATTCCCAAAATCCTCTTCTCCCTGATCCTGTCATTGGCTCACAGCCTCTTTCAGAGATCTGCATATATTTTTAATAAGCAGTTGTTGCATGCAGCATGGTTTACTCTGCAACACCCTTTGCTTTTCAGTGGGAATGTCTAAATGTGCTGTAAGGGTACCAACAAATTTGTCCACTACTAAATAGATAATTCAAGTGCTACACAGGTCTGGCTGGAAGTGAAGTTATTTCTTATAAGAACAAACTATGAAGTAAACTTAACTTAAAATATCACACAGAAAACCTCTTTCAAAGTGTGTGTACTCTAGTTATATTGAAAGTCCATTCTGAGGATTAGAAATGTGATAAGATCTGCAAAAGATGAAAAACTCCCATCCTCTCTCATCATCACGTCCCACGTTACTCCCATTACTAGAGCAAACCTCATTGCACATACACATGTACACACACCAAAGCGTGGTACTTTTACGCAATGAATTGGAAATTAAAAGGTGTAGGGCCCCCTCACAAAATACATACTAGGGAATGGTTACTCTTTTATACTGTGGGGTCCTGGATGTAAGCTCAGGGGTAGTAACAGTCAATGTTGCTTATATACTGTGCTGTCATACTTGTATATCTACAGTACATTTTTTTTGTTTAAAGGAGAACTATGCGGTCAGTGTTTTTCCCCATAGTTCTCCTTAGGGTAACGGGAGGACACAAACTAGCATCCTCCTGTTACCCTAAGCTCAGTATACCATTCTGTGCTATATCTAATCCATCCAGGGCAGCCATCAGAAATTTCGGGGCCCCTGACACAGCTTTAGGCCTGGAAACCCCTTCCCTCCCCCAATCACACCGCCACCCCGTCGCCACACTGAGCCAGTTTTAGTCATAGTCTCTTAGTCTCTGCACAGAGGAGCTTACACTTTCAAATTTTTGATATCGTAGTTTTTTGAGGTTTCGCGCACACGCGCAATTTTAAGGCTTAACATGTTTGCTGTCTATTTACCTGACGTGACCCCGCCTTTTATATTTTACCAGAAATATGGAAATTCAGCATGTGTATTCACATCACTTCTGCATTCACCTGTCAGTCACCTGGCTGCTATAGCCAGAGAGAAGAAGCTGGTGAAGCAGATCTCTGTTTCATCAGCTTCTTTTGGGGTCACAAACGTCATAACACTAAACTGATAAGCAGTAAAAGCTTTTAACCCTTTCGCTGCCAAGCCCTCCGGAACATTTTTCAAATCAGCTGGCCAAGCCATTTTTGAATATTTCCGACGTCCAGTGATCGGAGAAGAGATCCATGGCTAGAGGCTGCTGATCTCTCCTCCGATCTGTCAGGGGAGAAAAGACGTCATAGTTCTCCTTTAAATGAAAATATAAAGTAGGGTGTGTTGGGATTCATTTACAGATGGGCTCTAACATATGCTAAACCAAATGAAAATGTACAGCAATTATTTACTCAGGTAAACCTAGTAAAATGCCTGCCTAATTTTCTCTGGATATTCAGAACATACAATTATAATATTAGTTGTTAGGCATTTAGCAGTAATGTCAAAGCTTGTAAAGCAGTATATCCCATTTATGCTCTGCACATAATGTGTTTTCACTGGATCTTTTTATAAAAAGGAATAGTATTTTATTGTCTCTATACTTTGTGTTAATGTCACTTTTTACGACAGCTATAACTTAAACCTTCTGACATGAGAAACAATCCAGCACACGCTCAGTTCAAAGAGAAACTGAAAGAGATAAAGATTATATTTACTTGAATTATTGCCTCTTCCAACATCTCAAAGTGCTACATTATCCCCAGACACCTAATTAAAAGCTACAGGCAATGCAAACTTTTGTGAACTAGAAAAACAGTTACAAGAGCAGTATAAAGCACAATCAGCATAAATCAAACATCTAAATTTAATTTCAGAAAATGACCTGTAAGCAATCATTTGTAAATGTTTAAATTTGGAAAACAGATTACATCCATTGTTTTTAGCAGTGGATGTGCAAATGTCCTTTAAAGCCCCCTAGAAGCTCCAAAATATGAGGACACTCTACCATGTAAATGACACTTTCCAGTAGTGTAAAGAGCTGTCCCTCCCCTCCCACACCATCCTTTTGACCAGTACTAAGGCTGAGCAACATAGTGAAGAACCGGTAGCTATCTTACTACCTAGAAGAAAGCCAATCTCCCCTCTACGTAACTATACTGGTCACTTAAAGTGACACTAAACTCAGGAGTTAAATCTTAAAAATGCATTCAAGTACTTTCACTATCAACAAAAATGTATCTTGTTTGTGTATTAGTTAGCTGTAGATCTTCAGATCATTTCTGAATTCATGCAGACACTGTCCTTCCCTCTGCAGGGTAGTTACTTGTGTTACCCATGGTCCCTGTGTGTGTTGTAAAGTAGCCACCACTCCAAGATCATGCCCATGATGGACTTTAATCTCACGATTAGTTTACTAATTTGTATTGAGATTGTAGTCCATCAGGAGAATGAGCTTGAAGTGAACAAAAAAGCCCCCCTCCAGAAGGAAGGACAGTGTCGGAATGAATTCAGAAAAGATTTGAGGATCTACAGCTGTGTGATACACACACTCCATTTTTGTTTATACTTGAATGCATTTTTAAGATTTAACTACCGAGTTTAGTGTCACTTTAAAAATGAATGATGGTTTCTTTCTCATCCACAGAGGGGCACAGGAAATCTTAAAAAATAATAATTAAAAAAAAATGATTAGTTATACTTTCCATCAACAGGAGGATTCGACCCTGGCAAAAACAAAAAAAACTGCCACCTACAGGACACTGGCAAACAGGAAAAAAATGTAGGCTAACTCATGATAACAACACCTCCTACTACAAGCATGCCTCTGTTTTTTGCTAAAGTCCTAGGAAGATGGCCACCTTCTCCTCAGGTTTGCTGTTGTGAAGACTAACCAATACATTTACTAGCACCTTTTTGCCCCTTTGTTCAAGACTCTTCTCTACAATGCTGCTTGTGTTTTCCCTCTGATCTGTAGCTATCCAGTACAGTCTCAGCCTGGCTTTGGACCATACCACACCTGGACATGGGCTAGCCTGAAAGTGACCTTCAGGCACTGGGTTCAACATGAGGAGCTTTCCAATTCTACCCAGAGCTCTGCTTTGGGTAGAACTGGCTACAGCACACATTCGAGATATATTGCCTCTGTGCTTACCCAGTCTTTGAAGGCTCATTTAATGAGTAGGCCAATTGGGCAATACCCCAGGAGCCCCCTCATCATTAGTCCCTGGGCTTCATTATTCCCAGTTTCTCACTAGCTTTGTTGCAGAAGGGGTGAACGCTGTGGTACTGATCAATTATGTAATCTCCTGGATGGAGTGTAACATATGCTCCATGATCTCTTTCCAGCCCTACAACATGGAGCAAGCATTTCTCCCCTGGTGAACCTGCTTGCAAAGAAAAATCAGTCCTGTCGGTAGACAGGCCAATTCGATTGTCATCAAGGGCAAGGTTTGGTGGCTCGGGGACCCCAGTCGCAGAAGTTTTTTTCCGGTCTATAGGAAGATACTTACGATGGATACAAGCCTTTGGGGCTGGCGAGGAGCACTGGGCACTATATCAGTGCAGGGAATTTGGTCATCAAAGGAAATTCATCTTCCTAAAAACATCCAAGTTCAACAACAAACTAGACAGGTGTTTTATCTTAGAGCAGGAATCCTCTACCGCAGCAAATGCAATGGTGGCTCCATTGGATCTGTACACCCTGATCTATGCCATTCCTCCCAAAACGTCCTTATCTGTTCTGCAGGATCGAGATGCAGCACATGCCAGTGATACTCATTACTCTAGATTGGCCCAGGCAGATGGTGCGGCCTGGATCCATTGTTCAAAGTACAAATTATCATGCTGCTATTCGGTCAATGACTAACAGCATTAAGCCCAGGAGCTTAGGGGACAGGGGCATCTCTGAGTATGGGATTCCTACAATGCTCAAGGCTGGGAGACCCCCTCCTATAAGGTTTACCATGGGATGTGGAAGGCATTTTCAATCGGCAATTTGATCTGAGAGTCCCCAGTTCATTTTGTTTATGTGGAGCCTGTTAGCAATTGTTTGCTGTGTTGGCCACCCCTCCGTTGGACTCCTTTAGGACATCCCAGAGGTTTAGCACTTTCTTTGTCCCTCAATTAATGACAGAATCGGATTTTTGCGCCTACCATAAAATTAAAATTATTTTCTTAGAAACCATTTTTGGACACAGACCCCTCCCCTCTGTGTTTGTGATCATACTCTTGGTATCTTGCTTGCTTGCAAATCTGAGGAATGCTGGTAGTAGGAGGGATTATACTCTGTGCTGGCCTAAAAGTGTTTTGTTTGCCAGTATCCAATACTCAAGCAAGTATAACCCAATTGTGACAAATGTTGATGCGAACAACTACTGAAATACCTAAACTGTTACTATAAAAACATATATATGTAATTATGTTCCATTTGATTTAAGTGATCAATCTGTAAGTTAAATTATATTGTGAAACCTTGTGATTAATGTGGCATTGATGACAAAGGGCAACTTGCAAAAGCTAAATCTACTAATGATTTTACCATGGAACCCAGGCTGTGCCTGACACTTACAAGATTTGAAAATTGACAGCACTTACCAAGATCAATAAGTATTGCATGCTGCTGTGTGGTCAGTTGCTTCAGCAGTTCCTTGTATGGAATATCTTTTAACTGGCTTTTATTGGGAACTTGGTGTCTCAGCTGATACTGCTCTGCTAAAAACTTCCATATTTCTCCCCGGTGAGGTCGAGGTACTCCTATAAAAATAGATTTACTGAAAACAGCACCAACACTTTGATAGATTTTGTCCAAATGTCTTGCATATTACACTAAGTTAGAGTTTTGTTTCAATCTACTCGATCTACTAAGCCGACCTGTGACAGTCTCATTGTCACAGGTCGGCTAGAACTATGAGGTGAGTGAAAAGCACTCACCTCATAGTTCTCCTTTAAGGATATAGCCTAGTTAAGATGTAGGTAAAAGCTGACATGCGTAGCTCAGTCACACACACGTTTATAAGAAATAAACATAGCTACGTATGTTATCAGAATTAAAAATGTAACGCACATAGAAAGACAGCATACAGCTGGTTTTGCAATAGCACAAGTTATGAACAAACTGCAAACAAAGATTAGCACAATATTACATGATCACTTGTAAAACAACTGGAGCCAAGGGTGTCTGCTTAATGCATAAACGAGCATGCTTGGCTACAACAATCTTCCCTCTTTAAAAAGATTTTAAGGAGACATCTAGGGCTGCAAAAAACAAATCGATTACAATCGATAACGAGAACCGTTGGCAAAGATATATTCGATTAGTTGCTTTTCTATTCGTTGCCGCCGCTGTGCTCCTCAGTTCTCCTCCCTGCTGGTGCTGGCTGCAGCTGTCTGTGTCCTCTTCAATCCCCACTGCTCTCCCTGCAGACCACTGCAGCTGGCACCAGTGGGGAGAAGAGACCGCTGTGACTGCATTCCCCTGCTGCCCCCCCCCCCAACTTTAAAAAAATGATGGTATTCATTTTTATTTTATCCGATTAATCCAAGTTAATAATCAGCTAATGAAAATAACCGTTAGCTGCAGCCCTAGAGACATCTTTCAATAAAAAAATCTTTAAAAGAAGGACCTATTGGCAGCCAGATCTTTCAACTGCTATCTGATTAGCTTTGCTGTACAAGGGTCCTGGATCCCATTGCGATCACCACCTGTGCAATCTCTCCATTATTGCATGTTTCTACTGGATACTATGGCTTCCTTTCAAAAGCACCTGTTAGGTTTATTGGCTTCCACTACTGTATCTAACTGAGAACGTTGTAAGGATGGTCTGCAGAATTTGACAACATTGTACAAATACACAACAAAAATTGGAAACATGGAGAAAATTAAACATATAATATGTTGTCAGTGAATTGATTTTTTTCAGCAAAGACATCAGTTGAAAAGGTGACAGATAAAAAGAAAGCCTTCCGCACTAGAGATTTCCTAAAGATGGAATTACCTTGCCCAACAGCAGCATGAATTTTTTCCATATCAACCTTAATTTTTACTCTTCCAGGTATGACCAGCATCTTCTCCCATACAAGGGTCACATCTTTCAGACAGGGAGTAATCTCTTCATAATCAAGCTTCAGCCTTTTATTTTGCAAGTCACTTTCTGAAGCTATATGGGAAAATAACAAAAATAATTACAACTTATTTTAAGGGGCCCACCTCTCAAACTAACAGAATGTACACTGATGGATTAAAGCTTTCACTACTTAGCAATTCCTAATTTTGCACAGAGAAAGAAAAAAAAGCCTTTCCAACACGAGAACTAAAGACTTCGGTACATCTATTAATTTCATAAATCTGTCTGGCATATAGACGTGAAATTGTCACCAGATCCACTTGAAAATGTTCAGATTGGAGACTCATCTCAGCTCTATGGGGACTTGTAGTTTAGGGTATAGTGGGAAAGGGTTATCACTTTCTGTGCTACTGTTGGGGAGATCCATGCTTGATCTTTACCATGGTTGCTTTGGTTAGCAGCAAAGAAAGTGATGGAAAAATTAAAATCTTACCGTTATCGGAACATTTGAAGGCATGCGCTCTCACTTCCTGCTGACACAGGAAATGAGGGGAAAGCTAATGGAAACGCAGACCACAATTAAAATATTGACAGACATTCAAACCCATCTTCGTTCCACCCTAAAAAATACATAACTATAGTGGTTGGAGTTTCAGTATGAATATGAAATCATACCCCCAAAAGAGAAACAAATTTGAAACAAACATCCAAAGATTTCATCAAATAAAATGCAGACAAGAATGCCCACGGTCTCCTCAGGGGTAAAACAAACATTTTGCATTTAATCTTCAATGTTCTACAAGGCCACACAAACATGTTAATACAAGTTACAGATCAGATTACATTGTTTGCTACTACAAAACTATAAAGAGCAGCTAACTCATATACTACATCAAGGCCTTTTTGTCCTTTTATCAGTTCATAATCTGTTCCTAACAAGTTTTCCTGCTTCCTTGTTGGCCTGGTTTCTCCATCTAAAAAGACACGCCTCAGTCTGGGTAAACAGCAGGGCACAACACGATGAGAAAGTGAGAATAAACCCAGCAGCGTTACCCTACAGGCAAACATTAAATGATCACCTCCCGATCGTGTCATTTGCAACTGGATTGGAGTTTATCTAAAGATTTTGGGTCATTAGCAGACACCACCAGACAAGGATTGTCAGGGAAGAAATGATCAGGCAAGGTTGTAAACATCTTTCAGATTGCTATGGTTTACCCTTTAATAAGCTAGCACCAAAAAGCAGAGCATCCCCTCCGCATATGCGAAATGAACAATTATTAAATAATCCTTTCATGTATAGGGATCCAGCAGCTGGCAAACAGGTCAAAGAATAGTCAGACTGTGCGTCCACATCATAGCCCTCCAAAATCTAAGGCAGCCTTTATAAGCTTTAAGTCAAGATAGGCAAGTGTTGCTTATCAACATATTATGCCAAAAAAAGTTTGAAAAACAGGTGGGAACATAGACCCTTAAAGGGCAGAGGTTGTCCTTCATTTGGGTTAATACTACAAGTAAAAAAAAAAAGTTAAATACCAAGTTTACAGATATCTTTGGAATCACCTTTGCAAGAAAATGTTCAATCTGTAGAATTAGCTTTTTAACAAACAAATATAGGCAGTGCCCGGATTACGGACATCCGACTTACGGACAATCCGTACTTACGAAGGGGGTCCACAGTTCTCCTAAATGTACTGGCAGCCGCCGGTACATTTAGGAGAACTGTGGCTGCAGCGGCCTGTGTCCTTTCAAATCGACACTGCTCTTCGCGCCTGTGTTGGCGGAGGCAGCGGGGACACAGACCGCTGCATACCGCCGATGTCCCATGTACCTCCACTGATGTGTCGGCTTCCTCTTCAGCCGTTGGCTTCCCCGGTCCGGACGATCCTCCGGTCTCCTGGTCCGGCCGCGGCTCCTCTGCCTCGCCCCCCTGCCTACTCTTTATTGCAGGCTGGGAGCCATACCCAACCTGCATTTGGATATTGTGAAATGCAATAGCCAATAGCAAGCTGGCTATTGCACCCGCCCACTGTCTGCTGTCAATCAGCATGGGGGACCTGATAGAGAACTTTCTACTTCAGGCCCCTCCTCTGCTGATTGACAGCAGGCAGTGGGCAGATGCAATAGCTAGCCTGCTATTGCAATTTGAAATATCCAATAGCAGGCTGGCTATGGCTCTCAGCATTAAAATACAAAAAAAAAAAAAAAGTTTAAAATAAATTTTTTTTAAAAAAAGACAAAAAAATTTAAAAAAGTAAAGAAAAAAAAATAAAAAATGCAAACAATAAAAAAATTAAGTTTATAAAATAAAATTAAAAATAGAAAAAAACGTTTGCGGTGTCATTTTAAATAATTAAAAAAAAAAATGATATTATATTCTTCTGAACAACAGGAACAGACAGCAAAAGAACCGTGACCCTTCCCTAAGCTACCCAAAACTAAAAACATTTTTTTTTGGCTGGAGTTACACTTAAAAAATGTACCTGTTCCGACTTGCATACAAATTCAACTTAAGTACAAACCTAAAGTCGCTAACTAGTATGTAACCCGGGGACTGCCTGTATGCCAAATGTAGCTATGTTATATTTAGAACAAGTGGCACTATAGCAACATATTACATAATGACATCCAATTGGAAAAAAATCCAGAAGAATGAAGTTGAAACTTTAGAAAGGAACCAAGTGATAAGGAGAATGTGTAAGCATTGGGATTGCTTTCTTCAGAGATTTATCAACATGTTGCAAAACTGTTTTTTACAACATGTTTAGGATCTGTCCCTTTTGGCTAGAAGAAACTATTTAATTTCTGTTTACCATACTAGTGGGAAAATCAAGTCTGCCAAAAGGTTCTCATTGACATTTGTCAAACAAAAATCCAAATCGTCTTTACAGTCTATAGGCAGCCAATGAAGACCTTTTCCAAAAGACAATGTGGAGTCTTCAAAGAATACTTTGGAGAAAATTAAAAGTAAGCTGCGTAACTTCAAGGACTGACCTTGCAGTTTTTGGTTTTCTTTTTCCATCCTGAGAAGCAGGATCTGTTGTAAGATGGCTTTCTTCCAAAGCTCTCGGAGTTCCTCTGGTGCCCGGTGCCTGACTGTCGCTACTTGAACAAATGGGCAGTTTTCACAAACAGGCTGCAGAGGGGATCTCGGTGGTATATCGCCTAGCTCTGCTCGTTCTAAAAAAAACAAAATAGATTTGAAATAGCCATTTGGATATGAATATAACCAGGTTATTAAAAATAACCTTGTTTTAACCTACATAATAGAACCATATTTATATTGCTAGTTTATAATTCTACCATTACCATGTATACTGTCACCAAACTCACTTCCATTTCATTTGTGATCTGGATCACAGATCTGAACTGGACAGCACATATTCAGACATGGACATGTATGACCACATTAGTTTAAAATAATATTACCACCAGATCCCAAGTCACATGACTTTCCCGGTGCTAGAGCTTGATAGAGTAATAAACAGAATTGCTTGGAATTTGCCATACATGTGTATGTGTGCTCTGAGATCAGCCCAGAACTGGTAAGGAGTTTAACTTTGTATGCACCCACAGTAGACGGTAGTTTGCATCTACTGGTCAAGCCCAGCTACCACGTGGTGTATGAAAAATAAATAATAAAACTGGGCTGCACAACACTTCAAGGATAATTCAAAAGGTATTAAAGTGAAATAAGCAAAAAACTGTGTATACAAAACAATATGCAGTAAGCTTTGTGTGACCTCAATGTCACCACGTGAATATAACGTTACCACATATTTATGCACTTTTGAAATTGTTACTATTAAGGTTGATAAAGGAGTAATTCACGTGGTGACATTGAGGTCACACAAAGCTTATTGCATATTGTTTTGTATACACAGTTTTTTGCTTATTTGATTATTTCACTTTAATACCTTTGAATTATCCTTGACATATCGATTACACTTGATTTTAAGTAAATTTTTTTCACTTAAATCACCCTTTAGCGCTGCACACTTAGTATCTTATTAGTTTGACCCTAAAGTCCATAGCGCAGCAGCTTCTAAACCGTATCTACCCACAAGAGCATATTTTACATTTTCTATTGCACAACACATCAGTTGTTAAAACATCTTAATAACCAAGTTTGAGATTATATATCAAACCCACTGTGAATGCCAGGATATTCAAGTGAGCCAGGTGGAACATCTTTGTCCTGAAAAATTTGTATATATTTGGAGAAAGGTTGTATTTTCTACATTTCTTTGTTGGGGGAGGTTTTGAATGCATTTTTGTTTGTATATATTTTGTATATCCTCTTCAAGCAGAGGTGGCGAGCTGGCTCTGGGGTCTCTATGCTTTGGCATGGACAGGTTTCTTATTTTAAAAATAATGTTTGAGTACTGGAAGATCACACTATGAGGAAGCATCAGCTGACAAAAGACAAGGATGGGCAGGTGAGCCAATGTGCATTGTGTAGTTAACAAACAAACTATTTCTCAATGTGAGGAACACAACACTTGTTAATATTTAACAATGGTGCTACCATCTCTGGACAAGAAAGTGGCATACCTCAGAGGTCAAACTGCACAACAAACACCATCGGAGTTGTCTGACTTCAGCTGAAGAAAGTGCAAACATGCTGAGCACACACAATGGGTGAGAACGGTGAACATTATATAAACAGAGGTGCGGCTGGTCTTCATACTGGTTTTTATAGGACATGCTTAGTTATCTTATCTCAACTACACCATGATCTTTGTTACGCTGCGCACAGCTGCTGTGTCGCAACCCACTACAGGTACATGTTCATTCAATAAGGATATTTAAGATGCCATGGTAACTAGTACTATAAAATATGCTATGACATGTGCTTTTTTTCTACCTAATCTACTTGAATGCCTGAGATTTTGTTACAAAATTGCAGCAAGTGACCCTACTGGCTCTCTTTGTCTAATGTCCAGGCTTTGTGGAAAGACCATGCAAGACCACAGACAGCACATGCACAATTTTCCTGCATGTGTGCAGACAGCCGGGATCTTCATTCCTTAGGTTCCCCATGCACAGTTTTCATTCCACAAATCCTTCCCTTCTTGACTAGGCTTGTCCTTGCCCCCGCTGCATCAAACAGACTTGCAGTAATCTGACCTGGCTGACTTGAGTATATAATATGTGGCCCAGTAAATGTTTATCAATTTAACAGCCAGGTCCCACTCTGTGTTGAAGGAGCACCATCAGTGGCTCCTGGGAGAAAAAAGCCTGTAAACAGTGTAGTTTTTTTTTTTGTTCAGTCCAAATCATAGATGTTGTCCTTTGACTATATAATGCATATATAATGGCATATATGAGGCATATATTGGCAGTTCCAGAAAACCAGCAAATATTTTAAAAAAAACTCTTATCTTGTACTAACATCCTCTGCAATACTCATAAATGCAAAAAATGCACTTATAAATACATTTATTATGGTTTGTACCAAATACAAACAATTTTAGTTTTATAGGGGGGAATTGAATTTGCATTTTTCATCTATTGTAACACTTAAGAGAGCCACTTCTGGCTGACTAAACTCCCTCCACAGCAGTGGACAACTAAGTTACATAGCATAGCTATGCGAAAACAAAAGTATTTACACATACAGACAGCAGCAGGCCAAAGGGGAGGGTGCTATGTCCTCCAATGAATATAAATAAATAATTAGGCGAGAGTACAAAAAATCCTATTTTCTCTTTAGTTTTTTGGAGGACACAGATCTGCTTTAGATAACCACCAACTGGGATATCCCAAAGCAGTGGCACAATGGGTGGCCAAAAAATAGAACGGCATACCAGACTAAACTTCTTAAAGAAAAAAAAAAAAATACAGGCTAGTTAAACTGCCGTCTGCAATCTGTATGCCCAAAACTGGCATTAGCTGATGCTGCCACATCCACCATAAAACATGGTGAATGTATGAACTGATGACCAAGCGGTCATCTTACCGACTTGTGAAAATGATTCCTGATAGTGGAAGGCCCAGGGCACACTTACCCCCCTTGCGACTGTAACCGGAAAGAATGTTCGGTGCTTGGTAACATATTGACTTTCTGCCCATTTCAGGATGTGGGACACTTCTAGCGCTGTTGCCATGCTCTTAGTACCCCTTAGTCTTACATCAGTAGCAGCGGGTCCCTGTAAGCAGACAAGGAGTCTGCATACACGTGTAAAGCCGGTCACTTCCAGGGGCTGCAAATATGTTTGGGGATATGCTGGCCTACAAATATCGGAGAACTGGCATCACCATCTAGTGTTTACTGTAAGATTTATACCCTTCATTAAATAGGCCATCTGACTAGCATTAAGATTAATGTGACGACATACACCGGGCAGCTACATGCTGGTGTGTACATACGCCAATATGCTGCTGTCAGCTATCCATAGTACAATACTACAATGGAATGACAGGAAGAGAAGAGCAAAGCAGAAAGGCTTATCTGATTACAGAATGTGGATGGCTTGAGAAACTGCAGACAAATTGCTCTGCATACAAGACATTTCATGCCCAATCTTGTAACCTCTAAGAGGAGAAAATTTTCTGGAAGTCTGGGACAGCTTCAGAAAACAAATATGCTTTATAAATAGGAGATGTTAATTAAAAGGATGTGCATTTATTGCAGCAGCTGTTCTCTGAAAGACTAGGGAAACAAAGAGCTACTTTGTTAAAGTGCCAGTGCAGGTGATTATGTCAGCCATATTTAACCTGAGGCGTTCTGTATATTTCTACAGAAGCTGGAGCCTATGTGAGAGATCAGGCACGTACAATATTGATTTGCTGAATGACAAATGTGCATAACAGGACATACTGCCTTTGAAACCTGTGCTATTACACAAGGGCCCATATTTAATGTTAAAATAAGGCAAATGATATTCATATTAAAAATTAATACTAATAATTTTAAATATGTTATTTATACCAAATCCTATAAAGTGCCCCTGAACAGACAGGGATCCTAGCCAGGGAACAGTCTTATGGCTCAAGCACACGATGATACAATACCTTGCATTGAAATCTGTAATGTATACAGGTGTGAAAAGAGCAGTATTGTATTCTATGGGACCATTCACATGGCCCAATTTTTGGTCCATAGTCTTAAGCTGGGTAAATCAAAACAAGATAAATTTGCGTCCATGGTTGGATTTGGACTGTACTTTACATTGTACACATGGAAAGTTTTGTGCGAATCTTTACATGCATACAGCATGAATGGACATGGTCAAATGCGCTGCTGCCTAGGGCCAGGGAATGTGTAAACAGCAGAGGCAGTGCAGGTGCAGCATTACCTCAGTCTTTCTGTGCCTGAGCTGCCACCTACACATAGTGTAATGTTTACATCTCCCCCTGAATGAGTCATTCACGCCATGGTGGTACAGGGTAACCTTGGCCTTGTCATTCAGATTGACTGAAGGTCGGGGCCATTATGCACCTGTATGAAGATGTCACCAGCACAACAAAATCCTTTTAGGATCACCAAGTGTTAATTTATTTAGAAATACTGGTCATAAAAACAAATGCTATTGGGGGCGCGCAGGGTCCCCTTATCAGGCTTAGCATTGAAAGCACTTGTTTTTGTGACAAGATTTCTCAATAAATGAACACTTGGTGATCCTGAAAGGAATTTGGTGTGCTGGTGATCTCTTCATATGGTTATTACTACTGGCGGCACCATCTGCAGTCACTACGAGCTCCCTCACATTACATGGGACATCCGGTAAGGAGTGCAACAAGGCATCTATACACCATTATGCACCTGTATCACCACCTAGTAATAGACCCATTCAGAGGGAAATGTAAATATTTGTACGGAGGGACGCATGCGTACATAGAACACATCTAAATTCATACGGACATATGTCCGAATACTTGAGATGCAGTATGGGCCACTTACACAGAATCTTGCTGCTGGCCTTAAGAGTAATGGAGAGGGACATGCAACACAGATTGTTTTCTCTTTATGATCCAGAAGCATAGAGATTAAGAATAGTTAGTAATATAAATGAGAATTCTAAAATCATAAGAATCCTTTTATTATATATTTTGTTCACCCACCCATGTGTGCCATCAGCACTATAAACCACACAGAATATTTCCTACCATTCATTAGGCGCAATAGATACTTAAAATAAATGGTAACTGTATGTGGTGTATTTAGTTTTCTTTGC